AAAAAAATATTAAAACAAAAAGTATACTCTGTATAAAAAAAAATTTAGTACGAGAGATAACAAAGGCTGAAACTTTATTATTGTTCAAATACTGTAAAGTTTCGCAACGAACTTTAAGTGGTTAGCGAACGCTTTGTAACAAATTTCGTACGACTTAAAGTTTATTTGAACTTTTACGAGAAGACAAATGTATTGACAAAATCTAACATAGACGGTATATCTAATTTATGGCTTCCATGTTACTGTTGGCTTAAAAATACTCCTATCTATTCCGGTAGGCTATCTTTTATAAGCTAAACTTTATAGATTTATTTGCTTTTTCTTTGTTGAAATTGCAACGGTGCTGACTTTTCACGTCAAAATGCAATTGAGAATTTGATCACGATTCGCTTGGGGCTTCGAATCTACGAATAAGCAAAGTGATATTTTTGTTTTATCTCATACTAGCTGACCCGGCAGGCTTCGTAGTGCCTCAATCGATAAATAAAATACCTAAGCTTTTGTATAAAATAAACTTAAAACAAACAAAAGGAATCCGTCCGACGGGAACACAAAATTTTTATTTTTATTAAATTCCGAGCATTTTCATATTTATCTAGCTTTTTAACCTTCTCTGGACTTCCACAAATAATTCAAGATCAAAATTAGCCAAATCGGTCCAGCCGCTCTCGAGTTTTAGCGAGACTAACGAACAGCAATTCATTTTTATATATATATATATCTATATATGCTATGTAGGAGGTGACCTTAGGAATTGTTAAAAATAATCCTGTTATCTGAAGTCGTTTTGGCTTAACGGATAAGACGTCCGGTGTACTTGTCTCGAGCGAAGCGACTTAGCCGGGATCTAAATTCTAAATCTCGCAGGCAGGTAGGTATTTACCAGTTTTTAGAATGAAAAAAGTCATCACCATTTATTAAAATTCAATACCGAAAAAATTGTAACTTGCGTAATTCCTAAGCCGTTTGGAAGATAGACTTCAAGTCTCAAGGAGGATAGCGGTATTCACGTTATGATGTCTATGGACTCCGGTAATCACTTAGCACCAGATGGACAGTGAGCTTGTTCACCCGTGTAAACAATAAAAAATATCTCCTTTAAACTGCGAACCACCCACAGAGAGAAAAACATTTTTTGCTACATAATACATTTCTGCTTTGAAATGAACTCCCCTCGGCGGTACCGAAGTGATATGTAGCAGAAAGAGAAAAGAGGCTCGAAAAGAATATGTAAAGGTAGATAGCCGCTTAGCTGCGCCCCTGATTTATTTTTTATTTTTTATTGCTTAGATCGGTGGACGAGCTCACAGCCCACTTGGTTTTAAGTGGTTACTGGAGCCCATAAATATTTACAACGTAAATGCCGCCACCCACCTTGAGATATGAGTTCTAAGCTCTAACGATGGCTGCCCCACCCTTCGAACCGAAAGGCATTACTGCTTCACGACAGAAATAGGCTGGGTGGTGGTACCTACCCGTGCGGCCTCACAAGAGGTCCTACCACCAGTAATTACGCAAATTATATTTTTTGCGGGTTTTATTTTTATTATCCTATGTTATTCCTTCACTGTGGAAGTCAATCGTGAACATTTGTTAAGTACGTATTTCATTAGAAAAATTGGTACCTGTCTGCGGGATTCGAACACTGGTGCATCACTAGATACGAATGCACCGGACGTCTTATCCTTTAGGCCACGACAACTTGGCATTAAAACAATGTCAAGGTAAGCAGTCACGTTGTAGAATAGCGAGTAGGCTGTATAGTCGTGTTAACAAAACCATGTGATCTATACTAATATTATAAAGAGGAAAGATTTGTTTGTTTGTTTGTTTCGAATAGGCTCCGAAACTACTGGACCGATTTGAAAAATTCTTTTTCCATTAGAAGCTGACATTGTCCCTGATGAACATAGGCTACTTTTTTTTAATTTTTTTTTTTATTTTTTTTTTTTGGTACCATGTGTGTTTTAATGTTTCCGAAGCGAAGCGAGGGCGGGTCGCTAGTTATTAATATATTTGGAAAAAACAATAGCTTATTGTTGCCGAAATCACCTAGTATTTAATATAAACAAAAAGCAAGCAGACGGAAACATGAAAACATAACTTATTATTGGGAATGTTTACGTGTACATTTTGTTTCAAATTTATAAGTCTTTACCGTGAAATTACGAATAAACTTATAATTTAACTCGTTTCGGCAACTCATAATTTCATAAACTTCAGCAACAAAATTTTATTCGAAGTTCTCCAACAGTAAATGTTCCTGGTATTCTGTTTCACGGTAGTGGGTCGATTTACAACGGAACGAAACTTAACTAAATTCAGCTTGAGCTAAATTAATATTTTAAAGAAGTATAGGTAATCTTATACCTATAAACGAGCAATTCTTGTATATTAATATATATGTATATAATCTGAATCTCGGAAACGGCTCCAACGATTTTCAGAAAATTTAGTATACAGGGGATTTTGGGGGCGATAAATCGATTTATTTTCAGAAAATGTTGTTTTATTCGTGCTTTCAATAATCAACTCTTCCCGACATCTATTGGCGAATAATAATAATACTATTTTTCTTAATTGAGGGCAACTAACCGCTTTAAAGAAACAACAAGATGGCGTTATAAAAAAAACCGAGCAAAGCTCGGTCATCGTCCAATATTATATTTATTTTAAATAGCTTAAATATTCTCCGTTCGTAATATAGATAAAAGTTATCGTAAAATCTGAATACAGGTCAGGGATGATCGTATATATCGTTATGATTGCTATCAGAAGTCGTCGTGGCCTAAAGGTTACCACCACAACCAATGCATATGTATCGAGCGGCATTGGCAGTGTTCGGATCCCGCAGATAGGTACCACATTTTTTTTTTATTGCTTAGATGGGTGGACGAGCTCACAGCCCACCTGGTGTTAAGTGGTTACTGGAGCCCATAGAAATCCACAACGTAAATGCGCCACCCACCTTGAGATACAAGTTCTAAGGTCTCAAGTATAGTTACAACGGCTGCCCCACCCTTCAAACCGAAACGCATTACTACTTCACGGCAGAAATAGGCGGGGCGGTGTACCTACCCGTGCGGACTCACAAGAGGTCCTACCACTAGTAATTACGCAAATTATAATTTTGCGGGTTTGATTTTTATTGCACGATGTTATTCCTTCACCGTGGAAGTCAATCATGAACATTTGTTGAGTACGTATTTCATTAGAAAAATTGGTACCCGCCAGCGCGATTCGAACACCGGTGCATCGCTCGATACGAATGCACCGGACGTCTTATCCGTTAGGCCACGATGACTTCAAAGGTACCAGATTTTCTAATGAAATACAAAATTAGCAAATTTTTCATAAGTAACATATCTATATATAGTCTCAATATATTTTCTCTATTACTATTTTTATTTTATAATTATTTTTTATTATATTTAGTAGAAATACTTCGTATCTTAATGACGCCCACTTTCTTTGTTGAATTCGATTTTAATTAAACAGTATTGTGCTCCAAGGAAATACCTGTCTACTTGTGAAAACTACATGAAAATCCATTCGGTAGTACCGGAGATGTACACGAATAAAAATCAGACTGACAAACTAAAGAAAGAAAAGAAATATCAAAGAATGTCTGTTATTTTTATTAATTTCTTTCTGTTACTCCATTTCGATTTTTACTACCTTTTTTTTTACACTGGATACACTACAGTTTTATTGTATTCATTGATGATATTAATAAATAGATGATAGATTGATAACTCCGTAGTCCTTCCTTTGTAAAACTGACCGGTAAGCAGTAAGTAATCTGGTTGAAACATCTCCATTACCTTTGATCAGCGACTTGACTTTGTAATTTGGCGCAGAATTCGAAGAACGCTCGTTGATGGTGCTTTGAAGTTGATAAATCGACTAAATTAAAGTCGATCTCGGGACCACTGACGTCAATGCGATTGACAGAATTTTTAGCGGTCAAGTAAAGCGTTATCAAGTGAAAGCGAATTCTTTATTTTTTTTATTGCTTAGATGAATGGACGAGCTCACAGTTCACCTGATGTTAAGTGGTTACTGGAGCCCATAGACATCTACAACGTAAATGCGCCACACATCTCGAGATATAAGTTCTAAGGTCTCAGTATAGTTACAACGGCTACCCCACCCTTCGAACCGAAACGCATTACTGCTTCACGGCGGAAATAGGCGGGGTGATGGTACCTACCCGTGTGGACTCCCAAGATGTTCTACCACCAGTGATTACGCAAATTATAATTTTGCGGTTTTGATTTTTATTACACGATGCTATTCCTTCACCATGGAAGTCAATCGTGAACATTTATTGAGTACGTATTTCATTAGAAAAATTGGTACCCGCCTGCGGGATTCAAACACCGGTGCATCGCTACATACGAATGCACCGGACGTTTTATCCTTTAGGCCACGACGACTACAAATTCTTAGCATTAATATACAATTAAAATTATAATGAGCGAACAGTTTGTACAATATTTGGATTTTGGATTCGATTAATGAACAGATTAAATTAAAAATATCTTAAAAAGCAACCCACGCTTTTTTTAAAATAAAATATATTTTACACTATTTTCAATTTAAATTTATTAAATTTTATTTTCTATTTTTTAGTTAATTTTATTATAAAGCGTGTTTTTTAGTATTTTAAACTATTATTTATTTTTTTATTTTAGTTAAATTTTCTATAAAAGCGTATTTTTAAAACTATTAAGTACTTTAACATCAATTCCTGCCTCATCGACTATAGATAAAAATTATATAAATTGGCAAAAATCTTATTTTGCAAATTGAATAATGGAATAATCTTATCAAATTAGTGTATTGTCATTGGTCCTCGATAAATCTACAAAGTTTGAATGAAATCTGGCCGTTTAAAGTGAGTCAAAATCGCGTCTAAAGGAGTCAGTTACAAACATACAAACATACAGATAAGTGAAGCTAATATAAAGCATGTAAAAAACGAATATTCCACTTACATTTAGATCGATACTGTCACTGCATATGTCAACGCCTTCGAACGTCATAACGCAGCCGACTTGACACCTTATATCCCAAATCTAAGCAAAAGAACATAAATAGAAGAATCAATCTCTTAAGTGCTTCCATTCGAATTGCTAAGGAAGATACAAGAGTTTATTTCGCCAATTGATAGGTTTCGCCACTTTTTTTTTTATTGCTTAGATGGGTGGACGAGCTCACAACCCACCTGGTGTTAAGTGGTTACCGGAGCCCATAGACATCTATAATTTAAATGCGCCACCCGCCTTGAGATATAAGTTCTGAGGACTCAATTATGCCCCATCCTTCAAACCGAAACGCATTATTGCTTTACGGCAGAAATAGGCGGGGTGGTGGTACCTACCCGTGCGGAGGTCCTACCACCAGTAATTACGAAAATTAATTTTTTTACCTTTGCTAAGGTTAAAACAGTTCACACTCTTTTGTCAGCCCCCTAGTTCGAAGTATCAGTTGCATTTAAACAGCTAACACGTCATTCAGCAACGCGTGTACACTCCGTAGAAAAAATAACAGTTAACAACATGAAGCGCATTACAACAAACACCTTCTTATGCACTATGTTACCACATCCTTTTGCCTTTTCGAGTATCAGCCGAGCGATGAAAGTTATTATTATGCAATCAACTTCAATCAATTATATTTATTCATAACTAAAATTACTGTTACGATTTACGATCACGAAACTGTTAAGTCGTCCCTGACCAGGAAAATCCTAAAGTACCTATTCGAATAATAGAAAATAATATAAAGACTATTAAAAACGCGGATCAAACCGTAAAAGTAAAGTTAATTGTGTCTACGAAACCGAAGAAAGTAATACACATTTATTCGCATACGTTAATATCGCTAATCCGTATTCGATAATTCCTTCACACAAATTAAATCCCTATTTCGGTACAAAGTATACAATTTAAACCCCAGCTTATAACGTTCATTGTCAGTAACCAGAGATATCTTTAGCTTGTTGCAAAATAAAAATGGCTTTACTGTGACGTCCATGAGAGCCATCAGGCTGGCCAGGGGCCATAGGCCATAGGCCATGGCCTCGTTTGCCTAATAGGCAATAATAAAATAATACAACAAATCAACTTCGACTAATACCATTCAGGCGTCATACATAAAAAAGAAAATATACCCGGGGTCTTAACTAATGATTCGAAATTCTTAAAGAAGGTATAACAGGAAAAAATATATACTCCCTACAATAACAGTATTCGAATAGATAGGGAGGCACGCTTTTACGGTTCATTAAGTAAAACGGCGAAGTTGTTACCTAAACATAAGACGAGAATTATTTAATTCATTCAAGGTTTTTTTTTGCGATCAATAAAATATGCGACATTGTGAATGTTTCTTTCTGTCTACCGCGTTGCGATCTTGTCGTGTGCGAAATTTTGTATATTATTGGTGGTTGAGCCAATTGTGAGCTCTATTTTTTTAATTGCTTTGATGGGTGGACGAGGTTATAGCCCACCTGGTGCTAAGTGGTTACTGGAGCCCATAGACATCTACAACGTAAATGCGCCACTCACCTTGAGATATAAGTTCTAAGATCTCAGTATAGTTATAACGGCTGCACTACGCTTCAGAGCGAAACGCATTACTGCTTCACGGCAGAAATAGGCAGGGCGGTGGTACCTACCCGCGCGAACTCACAAGAGGTCCTACCACAGGCAGGGCGGTGGTACCTACCCACGCGGACTTACAAGAGATCCTACCACCAATAACTACGCAAATTATAATTTTGCGGGTTTGATTTTTATTACACGATGTTATTCCTTCACCGTGGAAGTCAATCGTGAACATTTGTTAGTAAGTATTTCATTAGAAAAATTGGTACTCGCCTGGGATTCGAACATCGGTGCATCGCTCAATACGAATGCACCGGACGTCTTATCCTTTAGGCCACGACAACTTCCACACAGTTAGATAGCACCAGTTTGACTATATCTGAAGTACCCGTAAGTTCCGTTCAGAATGTGGGAAAGGCGATATTCAATGTAATTGAGACTTTGTTCAAACTTTTCATTAAAGGGCATTATTCATACAATACATTGTCAATCTGTTTAATTCGTGTTAGGGCATTTTTTCTAATTATTGCCTATGTAAAAAACTTTGCATTTATAATGTAACTTTGCATATATTTATTTATTTCCTTAGATAATTCTTGTCCACCTGATGGAACTCGATAAGAGACCGAGAAAAGCACACACATTCACCTGGCCCCAAGCTGGGATCCCAAATACGTTTAAATATATAAATTTATAGATACTAAGCATTCCGACAACAAGCAAACAAACTTGTTTATTGTTTGCCTGACGTGGGAATCACACAGACGACCCTCAGCCCAGAAACCAGGAACGCTAATTACTGGACCACTGATTTAGTTACATTCTGTTTTGACACAATTAATTAAAAAAAATTAAGAAGGCTATTTTAATTACAATTTCATTTTGTTTAGCGGTCAGCGGTTTTCTTTTACTGTATTTACAACTCACGTTCACAAACGTCCGAAATTTAAACGTATTTAGACCGCAATGTGTTTTTGTGCATATCTGTACTACGAACAGACTGGAAAGGCTTAACTATAACGTCAGGCCTCGAAATATTCGTACAAAAAGCCTTTGAAGAGCAGGCATTTTATCACTGTGACGTATCCTCAAAGCAGAATTACGTTAAAAGAATTTCAGACGCTCTTTCCGTTCGTTCTCGACAATTTAAACCTCCACATTTGACATTATACCGTATCTCTACAACGCGAATGGTTTTATCAGAACACTACTGGAGAAATTTTCAATTTAATAACTCAAAATTCTTTTGTGCTTAAATTAAGGTTCTTCAAATAACAATTTTCATGTTTAACCTCAAAGAGAAATGTTTTAATCTCGACAAAGTCAGCGTGAGTGTATTCGCGGTCGTTGTCCGCTATCTATTATTCAAGGTGTGTTAGAAAGTTTAGTGTTTAGCAACTTGCTTCACGTACTCAAACGGAATAATGGAAAAGTGCACTTTTTTTTTTAAAACGTAAACTGTTATTTAATTTTGTTACTATAATAAAACTTTTGTAGAATATTATTTGGATATATTTCAGTTTTAACGTAACTTTGATGTTACTTGTAGATAATATCTCCTCGAAGATGTCTTATTTTTTTTAAGGGATTTTATGACCTGGTAACTAAGACCTTTAAGTCCTGTCTTATTTTAGTTTTTATTCTTATTTTTATGAAAAATGACAAAATGGAGTGAAATGCAATGAATATGATTAATTTGAGACATTAATCAACTGGGATGAAATTAAATGACGAGATGATATGGGATGAAATATAAGTTCATTCGATTCACATCTATCTGATTTTTTCATTATTTCTGATCTGAAACTACACGCTCAGTTTTGAACTCAGCCATTTTCTGGTATAAAGAAAGACACGATCCGAGGGATATAGTAGTGGTGTTTACGTTAACGAGAACTCAGCCATTTTCTGGAATAAAAACACGATCCGAGGGATATAGTAGTGGTGTTTACGTTAACGATTGCCTGCGTGTGATGAATTCACGAGTGCAAGCTGCACAACATCTAAAATTCATTATTTTTCCCATTATAAGAATTTTACTACTATATTAATTGAAATAAATTACAATTGATAATAAAAAATTAATAATAAATTAAAATAAATTATAATTTGCGTAATTACTGGTGGTAGGAGCTCTTGTGAATCCGCACCGGTAGGTACCACCACCCTGCCTATTTCTGCCAGCATTTACGTTGCAGATGTCTGTGGGCTCCAATAACCACTTAATACCAAGTGGGCGATGAGCTCGTCCACCCGTCTAAGCAATAAAAAAAAGACATATAGGTTTTTTCTAGTGTAAGTCATCTTTATTCTGTGTAAAGTATACGTTTAATAATATTAGGGGTTAAAGTATGAAATTGCCGATTTGTACTGAAAAATTGAAATTCGTTTATTTTTCATTTAACATATTTATTTCATCAAAATATCTACCGTTATTATCTGTACATTGCTGCCATTAATAGGAAGGTAATTTATGCCTTTGCGACATAACTCTGGTGATTTGGTCTGAAGGGTAGGGCAGCCGTTATAAGTTGTAACTTACTTGAGACCTTTGAACTTACATCTCAAGGTGGGTGGCGCATTTATGTTGTGGATGTCTATGGGCTCCAGTAACCACTTGACACCAGGTGGGCTGTGTGCTAGTCCACCCAACTAAGCAATAAAAAAAAATTAAAGTCGATAGGCGAATATTGCACATTTTTTAAAGGAAGAATCACCATTTTTTCAAAAGTTTCACTCAATAATCTCAAACCGTGAAGGTTCTATGTCAATTCGAAGTACCTATTACAAAACGGCAATTTCATACTTTAACCCCTTTTATATACATACGTATATATGTATATTTAAATTTTGTGTGATGTCCGTAGCTATATTTGGAAAAGAACAAACACTGAGTTTCTTACTGATTCTTTTCAGTGGTAATACTTCATTCTAAATCCGCAGTAAAGTTATAATGCTTTCAAAGTGCCTCTGAAGATAGACTTCAATAAAAAACTTTTTGATTTCGTTTAACTTATTTAATATTTTAAATCTAATTAGAATATCTCTTAGAAAATAATTTCATTTAAAATACGCATTTATGTTTTATTCTAACTCAATATCCAAAATGGAGTAGCTTAAACAGAATACAATCTTGTTCGTTCGGTTTAAGATTTCTTTATTGATTCTTAACCGGAAAACACATCTTGCGTCGAATCTTCAGTATTAATTTCAGTCTTAAATAGATTTTTTTTTATTGCTTAGATGTGTGGACGATTTCACAGCCCTCCTGGTGTTAAGTGGTCACTGGAGCCCATAGACATCTACAACGTAAATGCGCCACACACCTTGAGATAAGGTTCTAAGGTCTCAGTATAGTCACAACGGCTGCCCCACCCTTCAAACCGAAACGCATTATGCTTCACGGCAGAAATAGGCGGGGCGGTGGTACCTACCCGTGCGGACTCACAAGAGGTCCTACCACCAGTATAATTGTTGTAGATCGTCGAATGTATTATAAAAAAAATATACACTGGATTTTCTAACATATTTATTTGTCACAACCGTACGTATGATTACGAGCACTGCAATTAATTACCCGATGAAAACAAAACAGTCCTTAGGGTATATTGTTCGGCCTCCCCCCGGTGAAGGTCAAGGGGCGACCTGAGGGGGTGAGGCCGCGCGGCGCGCTACCAGCACTCTAGCGCGCTGCCGTGGAGTGAATAGAGCGACCGGTCGACGGTGTATCGCGTCCCGACCCGGCAGGCTGGTTCTGGTCCAGCGGGGTATTCCGGGACACCAGCGGCACCGTCTGGGCGGCCCGACGGGCTGCCGTACCGAGACGGCCGACGTTTCAGAGCCTTCGATTCGCCTCGAAGGCTCCGTCGGCTGGGCGTCCTTGGGGTGAGCCGCGCCGTCTGGTTGTAGTGTTGACCGCGGTAGCCCCCCTACCTCATCCGGGTTCTGACCTCGGAGGGGATCGGACGTCGGGTGTAAGAGTGCAGAGGAGTCGTTTAGTGGGTGGGCTCTAAAATCCTTGGGCCCGCGGTCTGCTCACAACACCATGCAGATCGTTGAGTCTCACATACCCCGCGCGCCCCTTTTGCGCGGGGACCTCGTAGGAGGTTCGGCTCTCTACCCGAAAAAAAAAAAAAAAAAAAAAAAAGGGTATATTGTTTGTTTCTTAGCAGCATTAAAATTGCAGCACTTATTCGTCTAAACAAACAAGCTAGTCATTGCATGCACCTGACAAAAAGAATAAATGCTAAATACCGACAACGGTCTGTATTTTGTCGACTGCATTGTATTTTTAGTTTGCGTACCTTAACTTTGTGTTGTCGGCGGATAATTAAGTAAATTGTTTAGTATTTTGCCGTTTGCTCAAAGGGACTTTGAGAATATTCAAATCTGCGCCTTCAGTTAAGTTCATAAGGTATTTAATCGTGCTTAATATTTTATTTCACGAACAAGACCGAAGCTACGTGGTTTTCAAACGAAAGCTCCTTTTGTGAATAAAATAATACTTTTAAGAGCCGCTACCAAAAATCCTAATTACTACTTAGCGAATCATTAGCAAAGTTGTATTAAAATCACATCTCAATTTTAATTTATTATTGAAATATCAATCTCACTGTGTCAATTTTTATGTCGATACCTATGAGTGACGGGGACATTTTTGTTTCATTTATGTTTACCTGATGTTGAGTGATTACCGGTATCCATAAAATATGAATAGCTATTCTTGTTATTGGCCTATGTCTCAATCATATCGCCTTACTTAACCCTTCAAAACGGCATTCCAGGCTGTTCGTAGATAGAAATGGACAGTAATAGTACCCTAACCGTGCGCAATGTATAATTTTTGCGAATGTGTTTTTTATTACACGATGTTCTTTCATCGCGGAATCTATTTATTTAAATGTTATGTAATTAAATACGTTTAATATTAGATAAAAATAAATGTGACCGCGGGATTTGAGCACTGGCATAGTAAAAACCATCGCACTTGTACACAGAGTCTTATTTTTTTAGCCACGATGACTTCATTCGTCCACGTCCAGTCCAGTCACGTGCTCACACATACATTACTAATTTTATTTTACTTTCACTAAGGAAACATAGAGCTGGATACCAGGTGACATACAGCTGCCTTGAAATGCACTATCGTTCAATTAATTGATTAAATTTATTACGAAAGTGACTGATTAATAATTAAAGACTTACTAACTCTCAAAGTTTTGTCCCAGGCAGCACTCGCGAACATGTAGGGCCTATCCTTGTGGCATCTCAAAGCGCAAACTTGACCGAAGTGCATTCTCTGTAACTTCTTCGGTATAAACTGAAGACGGAGTTTGTGAACTTTGTACGTCTGCTCTGTCTACGAAAACGTTTTCTAGTTAAGTTTATTAATAGTTTATTTTTAGGTAGTAAAATAAGTATTTCAAAATTATGACAACATCAGAACGTTTTTTTGAAAGAGTGGCGCGTCATGATAACTATCTTAACGCCGTCGTTCATAACATGTCGGAACCTCCGAGTACACTCTCGGTACTATTATGCTCTCCAAGCACCGATCATTTTCGTATTCGACAATTTCTATCTTTGCTCGATTGTACAACCTACTGAATTTCTCGCCAGAACTTCTCGTGTTAACAAATTCTCTCAGGTTGAGCCTATTAATTCATAGACCCTTAGGCTATCAGTGATTACTTATCAGCCTAAGCCTCGCCACAAGGACCGGTCCTGCGCTGCCCAACCATCTAGCGGATCCCCGCGAACTTCAATAGACGGTCGGCCTACCCACGGTACGTCTTCCGGTATGCGATCGCCACTCAAGAACTCACTGGCTCCAACGGCCATCCGTTATACGAGCAATATGCCCTGCTCACTGTCACTTCAACGTCGCAATCCTTATTAACAGTGATTAGGTAGCGGGAAAAATCGAAATTACGTAGGCAAGGCTCAATTCTGTATCTATCATTGCTGACGTCCATGAGTATTGGACCTCGTACCATCTCGTGTGACGTACACGTCGACGGGTGAAATTGAATGGCTATTTGGCTTAAGCGACATTTTTGTAACTTTACAGGAGAGCATTTGAAAATTAAAATTTGGAAAAAATATTATGAAAAAAAAATCTTCAGTTATTTGAATGTTGGTAAACATAATTGAAGTTCATATAAAAACAGCGAATTTTTTATACTAGTTAATATAAAATTAAACAAGCCTTTAATTACAAAGATAAATGTGGCATATTAACCGAAATGTCGCTTAAACCAAATAGCCTTTTACCCCTCTATACGTATAATCGTCTGCATATGAAGGTAACAAAAATGCATTTTTTTAAATAAATGTCTTTGTTCTTGTTGCAGTAGAATTGTTTTATTTATTTACTTGGTTGATATAAACCCATATTTATTTAATGAGATTTGATATTTCCCATGTCTCAAACACTTCGTGGTTAATGTAGCAAAGTCGAATTAATTACCTAAGTACCTGTGGTGAAAGTTTCAACTTGAGATGAAATCCGAAAGAAGGATAGCTATTTAAGTTATATATAATGTTATCAATATTAGTTATAAATATTCATTATAATGACTAATCGTAATTTTTTTTGTTATCAGTCATTAGTTACCTACTTAATCTTTCAACACTATGATTACTTTTACGATATTGTCACATAATAAACCGCATTACTGCTTTAAAGCTATTAGTAACTAATTATTTTATTACTACGCACTATTACATATTTCTGATGACTAGTACACTAGTGGTAGGACCTCTTGTGAGTCCGCACGGGTAGGTACCACCGCCCCGCCTATTTCTGCCGTGAAGCAGTAATGCGTTTCGGCTTGAAGGGTGGGGCAACCGTTGTAACTATACTGAGACCTTAGAACTTATATCTTAAGGTGTGTGGCGCATTTACGTTGTAGATGTCTATGGGTTCCAGTAACCACTTAACACCAGGTGGGCTGTGAGCTTGTCCACACACCTAGGCAATAAAAAAAAATTAAAAAAAAATAGTAGCAGCTGATATTCCGAACCAATTGTGACATTATCTTCATGTCTAAAGGCGGCATTTAGGTTTTGGTATCACTGGGCTCCAGTAACCGCCTAACATCAGATGGGTCGTCTACACGTTAGTTCATTTACAATAATGTAATAAAATCTTCACTTATCGCTGGGATTGCATTGCCTAATGTGATAACTCCAAGGTTGTAATGACAATAGCAGTCGAAAAAAACCCAAAACTAATTGTAAGAAAGAATCCTGGACCAGAGTCCCGAATTCAAATGATCTAGGGCTCGTAAAATTGCAGCTATGTAAAATTTATTTGAGCAATAAACCGAGATTGGACCGTAACATTTTATTCGCGGTTTCGTCTATGCCTTCACGGTATTATATATGGTTCAAGCGGTCCCGAATTATACAGATTTATCTTTCGTTAGGCCTTTTGTCACTGGGCTTTTGATTATTATCAAGCAGCGTTGTGCGTACTGCAATTCGTGAGATGAAACCGTACATTATGTTGTCTGGGACCGCCCAGGTTAGGATAACTTAACGAGTTCGAATGAATGGATGTCACAGATAAAAATGCGAACTCATTTTTAATATTAATGGTATTAAAATTCACGAAATCAAGACAAAAATATGTCACAAAAAGGAGACAGCCTTTGCAGTAAAAAGCGGATCACTGAGTGTCTTTATTGCAATGGTTATTACCATTACAAAGCGACAGTTGCAATTATTACCTATCCTGAACTACATATGTTAGACTCAAACAACGAATAGAACTCTAAGGATTTAAATCGAATTATTTCATTTAAAGTAAATTTAGTATTATACTATATAATAATAAGGTTGTATGTTCCTCAGAAATGTGGAGTTCGTAGGATATTAAATGCCAAGGATCAACATAACCGTACATGTACAGCCTTAGGGAATATTTCCTTAAGAAAAACGTGAATATATCTGGATGTCGTTTGAGTCAACGAGGGACTCACTCCACTATCCTTGGCTAACGGAAGTTGGAAGGCTGTGAGTATTTAGAATCGCATAGCCGTCAGAAAGAGCATGCAGTTACACGATAAGTTCTACCGGCTCTCACAGGGCCTGATGCAGACCAATTAGCTTCCGCGGCCTGATTACGATTCAGTAGCTTCTTTGAAGAAACTAAAGGCTTGGTTTTTGCAATTACGGACGAACTTATCATGATGAACAACTACCGGAAATATACATACATGTATTAAAAGATGGGATGGTCGACATTTGTCGGGCATGTCACCGTCCAGATCAATATATTAGACATATCGTTTCTGGTTGTTCTCGTTTTCCTAATGACCAGTACTTGCTTAGACAGTGGCTAGGATTATTTATCAACAAATTGCCCTGAAATATGGTTTTGTTGATTCTGTTGTACCAATCTCAACCAGTTCTTAAAAATATATTAGCTATTACGCTCTACTGGGACATTGATTACGGCTAGGTCTATTGTTGCCAATAAGCTTGATATTGTGATATGGCGCGTATTGTGATGAGATTTCTCACTCCGAAGCCCTAACCACTGGTGGCTTATGTCGTAGACCAGCCGCAATCTATTTTATAGTGGTTTTAAGAATAAATATTTCAATAATGTCTTTTTTATATAATTTAATTTTAATTTTTAAATTTAAATTAATGAATTTTTTTTTTTTTTAAATATAATAATAATAAGTATAGTGTAATAATCATACATTTAATGCATGATATTGGCTCGACTACACCAAACAAATACAAACCTAAAACATTCACTATTTATAAATATCAGATAAAGGACAAACAAAAAACAAAAACATTACTTACTTCTTGAGTCTCCATATCGTATACTTTTATTGAACTATCTCCGTAACCGACCGCCATTTTAGTTTGATCAGCGGTCAGACCGAGAGAAAGCGCAGGGGATCGCTCTGTCACAAGAAAAACTAGTTAATTCTTGGATAAGTGTCACACGTTGTAACAAAGTTTTTAACAATATTGTGTATTATATCAAAACTTATAACAAAACCGATGTAGGTACCTACACAATAACATACTTCAATTTTTCTGATACGATTACCAGAATTTACTTTGTATCAAATGCCTTGAACCAAACATTGGAATTTTGAAATGTTTCAAACGTTTCGAGATTGTTCAATTTTATTAATAAATACAGTAACAATAAATTTTAATAAATTTGAATTAAAAATAGTGTAAGAAAAATGATTTTATTGTAAGAAATCGTGGGCTGCTTTTCAGGATATTATCAAAATAACCCTTCTACTCATATCTGTTCATAAAATATTTATAACTACTGATACCATGCACCTCACGCTTTTTTTACAATAAAATCATTTTTTCTTACACAATTTTTTATTCAAATTTATTAAAATTTATTTTAAATTTTTTAGTTGGATTTTCTATAAAAGCGTATTTTGTTAGTTTTTTTAAACTATTATTTATTTTTCATTTTTTACTTGTATTTAAGCTAATGAAGCTAATGAAGCTAATGAAGCTAATAAAAGCGTATTAAAAATATAAACGTAAATATGTATTTACATAACTATCGGAGGGTGAGATTATTTTTAGCTTTTCTACAATGAAACTCTCATGTCCTAGTATATTATAACATAATATAAATCTATTACATTATTCATCAAAAGAATTGCTCTTACGGGTGATGAATGGTGTGGAATAAGATGATATCCCAGGACTTCCATAGAATTGCATGTTGAACGATTCTAGAGCAGGATCGGCTCTAATACAGAATAGTGGAGGTTCCTCTATCGGCGCCACAACCTACGATTAGGTAGACGTATCAGATTTTGATTTCAGTAGATTCACCCTGCGGTTCTAATAGCGTTAAATTTGCTATTCACAAATTAAATAAACACGTTGCATTTTACCGGGATATAGATATGTTAACGGCCGTCTGGTGTAGTGGTTAGTGACATGGTCATTACACAAGGGGGTCGCGGGTTCGAATCCCGCCAAGGGAAGACATTTGTATGATAAATATAAATGTCTTTTCCAGGGTTATGGATGTATATTAAATATATGTATGTGTATAATAAAAATCTTACATTTATTTCCGTTATCTAGTACCTGTAACACAAGTTCTTTACGAACTTATCACGGGACCAGTTAACGTGGCGTGATTGTTAGTAAATATTTATATTTATTTATATTTATAAGCTGTCGCAGACTAAGAAGCTGTCGCAGACTATGTTACTCTCTTGTCTATAAGCTAACATTGGATTTGTGGAACCGTTGGTATGTTAAATCACGGACCAGCAAAAATACCGCCGTATTTATATCACAAGCCTTAAAACCAGCGTTGTACGAATCATGTCATATACATTCAAGTATGTAGAATTGATGTAAATTTATTCCTAATTGAGAAAAATATTAATGTACACGTATTACGTAATTTTTAGTAATAATACATACATATTCGTACCTTAGACTTAGATTTAAAGCAAAGCAATAATGTTAAATTTACCGGCAACATTTAAAAACTAACTTTCAAATATTCAGATGAACGTAATAAGTTTCATTGACAATATTTTTGTGAACTGCGAATAAAGCTGAGAGTTTCGCTTGCGATAAATAATTCAATTCTGCATTCGACGGAATGAAATTACTTCAGAGAAGTACGAGAGGACTGAGTGGATCTAGCTAGAGCTTTGTTGGTGAACGATTCCCGATGGACCTAAGTGGTAAATTCATTTTACTTAGTTTCATACATAGAGCTCGTGGCGCTAAGATACTGAAGACATCAAAAGAGTTCGCAAATATTTTATTTTTAACATGTAGATACATTTTTGTTCAATATACGAATAAACAAAATCTTTGATAGCAACTTTACGAAACATCGGGAGAATTTCGAATAAATAAAAAAATCATCGAATATTTAATTGTGAGCTTTGGTGTTTCTCGACCATGGAACTGCCGTCGTTTTTTTTTTTTGTTGTTTAAATGTGTGGACGAGCTTACAGTCTACCTGGTGTTAAGTGGTAACTGGAGCCCATAGACATCTACAACGTAAATGCGCCACTCACCTTGAGATATAAGTTCTAAGATCTCGGTATAGTTACAACGGCTGCCCTACCCTTCAAACCGAAACGCATTACTGCTTCACGGCAGAAATAGGCGAGTTGGTGGTGCCTACCCGCGCGGACTCACAAGAGGTCCTACCACTAGTAATTACTAAATTATAATTTGGCGGGTTTCATTTTTATTACACGATATTATTCCTTCACTGTGAAAGTCAGTCGTGAACATTTGTTGTACTCAACAAATGTTCACGACTTTACAATTTCATTAGAAAAATTGATACCGGACTGAGATTCCACAACCACCACCAATCAAAAACTTATGACGTACGTTGGGTATTTCGATCCTGTAAATTGCACCGTCCATACAAGCAGCGTAGCAAACTCTTTCTTCGACCATGCTGTATTCAATGGCGTACACCGGTTTGGGCGGAAACTGCACATTTCTCAATGTACATAGCACTGTACCTGTACTACCATGGCGCATCTATAATTAGTAAATTACTAAAATTAAAAACGGAACAAATAACATATTGTACATTTTGCTTCGTGGAATTTGTGTCATTAGCCACGAATCAGCAACATTCCTAATATAAAGAAGAAGGGTGTAACAATCCTAAGGTACATAATAATAAATTAATTTATGCTGAGGTTTCGCATTTGACAGTGATTTTATGGATAGACTCATTAGATGTTCTCATTATCTCTATTTGATAAAAAACACCGTTCAACTCTTACGCACTTACGCTTTCCTTGTTAATCACACATATTATTATAATAACTTAAACATCTATTTGTAAAAACATATCTGTTAGTTTTGGGCAGACTCCTAGTTGGGCACAGTAGTTTACTACTACTGCATTGTAGATAAAAATATGTGAAATGAGAGCTCGTCTCGCCCAGGCTTCTGTCCAATTATGCTTAGTCTGGACAGAATTAAAGGAATTTTCATTTCATTTTTCACTTCTGCAGCTGAGCGCATAGGTCTTGTTATTTCTATCTCCCAATTTAACACACTCCGAAGAACAGTGTATGATCGCCTATGATGCTAATGCATGCCTTCGTCAGTAGAACCTAGCGGTATAGCTTCTAATTCCAAAGCTGTTGATCCACGGTAATTATCGGCAGTGGACATGTCACAAGTACGCACGAGCATTTTAACTGAATCTACCGTAACAATAATGGATTCACTTGAAAGGTGAAGTAGCTTCTGTGTCAATGTAATTGAGAATTCAATCTTCACTGAAATCCATTGAAAGAATTACGTCATGTTTATCTTGTACTCCAGTGGTAACTTAACTTCGGGTGAGTAAGTAAAGTCGTATGACTATCTTAAAAAAAACGCTACAGTACAAATACAATGACAATGGAAATTGAACTAAAAAAAAACTCAAGGTAAATTTTGTTCTAATGCATAATTTTCTACGCATAAAGGAATTCTGAATACCTGAATTAAGCCTGATGAATGTCCTACAATAACATGAGATCCGCTTGGAGAATACTGTAGAGTCGTAATATAGCCATTTTCCGTGAAGTACCATCTATTATAAGTAATATTATTCGCGGTACCTTTTAAAAATTTAGCAAAATTATCTTGAATCCAAGCGTAGACTTTCTTTTCTTTTAATCTCGTTTTATGAAAAAGTGGATACCAAATTAGGGGATTTTCTTCATTTTTATAATGATATTTAATGTTTTTAATGTATTCCGAAAGAACTTCATTTTTTTCCTCCATGTGTTTGTACCGCAGCCTACTAGATTCACTGATTTTCGTTCTACAGTTTTTGTTTAAAAATATACGTATTATAGACATTTTATGTATCTAGTTTCTGTTGTGCCTTACGCGATATTCAGCTATTTTTAATATCACATTTATTTTTGAGCCATTATGTATTTAGCAATTTAATCGATGGTCGTGCCACATAGTGTCCATGTAAGTACTTATTTATTAGGTACACTTCGAATAATATCAACTCACAATTTCCAATAATGGTAATTAGAGATTCTTTACCTGAATTAATCCAGACGAATGACCGATAATCACGAAATCTCCCTCCGGCGAAAACTCCATACAAAAAATATAACCACATTCTGATAAATAGTCCAGTTTCACCAATGTCTTGTTTTCCGTGCCCTTGAAGAATCTATCTCGATTGTCTTGTAACCACGTTAGGTCGGTTATACTGAGCCCTTTCTGAACAAACGAAATAAACGAAGACTTCGGCGGCTCTTCTTCTCGTGCCAATTGCCTTTTTATGCGTTTTCTATATTCGTCTACGAAAACGGGTATATCAGATTCGCTTTCGGATAAATTGAAACGGCTGTACGTTGATATATTGTATAAACTGCTGGCCATTTTAGGTGATACTAATTTATTGATTCCGTAAAATAATAATGAAGACTTTATACAGCACGTATTTATTCGAGGTTTTCTTGCTTCACAACGGTCGGTGTTATTGAAATACCATAAAAAATATGCACAAATCATCCATTTGAGTCTACAATTTGACAGGTGCTTCTTTTAAACGAACTTTGAAAAAAGTCCCGTTAAGCAGAAGATCGTGGCAATTTCAATCCATAATAATACTATTCAATGCGAAAGTGGGATTGGTGGTTTGTTGCGCTTTCATGTTTTAACTACCCCAGCTGGTCAAGACAAAATTTTTCGTACAAATTGTAAGATTACAAAATAACAAAAGGAAACTTAACTCGGAGAAATCACACATGTTCAGTTGGCCCCAAACTAGATAAATAAATACCTATACCTTTAAAAGTACGTTTGAAACATTTAAAATGGTTCAATACTTTCATTCATTTATACGGATATGAACATCTAAACAAATTTTAATAGTACCTAAACAAATCTGTTCATCACACTAATGTTTACCTGATCTGGGAATCAAACCCACGATATTTTTTTGCTTTTGATGCCACCAAAAATCCGAAAGTAATATCGCCATCGCATTCATGGCCACGGAACTTCTATGACATTATTACGTGCATTGATCTTGGAGCAGGATTCTGCCTACTGTGTTGCTTCGAAATAATTTTGTACCTAGAAATATTTTCACATAAGTTAATAAAGATACCTGATAAAATCAACCTTAAATCTACAAACTTAAATATTAGCTAGTAACCAATAGAGACCTACTCTACCTTAAGGATCTAGACAAAGTGTCCTCTTAAATAGTAAGTATATTATCTGTGAATGTACTAGCGTTAATGTGATTATTAGATATGTAAATACAGAAGTACCGTATTTATTATACCTATTTATTATGGAATTGACATAATAATTGCTAACGAAACGTCACGTGGTCTAACTTATGTCAATCCCTTAAAATCATACCCGTCCGGGCATAGCTGGAATAACCCCTCAGGTACCTTGAGACAGAGAGTAGACTCAGTGCTCAAGGCTCAGGTACATCAGGTTTTTTAAAACTAGGTCATTTAATATAATAATATGACGTAACAATTATGTAAAATTATTATCTGCTGTATAAAAAAGTTACAAATCAATTAGGCATCATTACAAAAATACAAATCTGCGTGCCACGAATCGTATTGTTTACAATTTTTCCCTGGACTTTATGTTGGCACCCCGAGCCTTTGAAGAAAAAATGAGATAAAAGCATATGCAATACCTTAGAGCGAACGAAGTAGCAATACTAGTGTCAGCTGCATTTGAAAGTAAACGAAATTCGACGAGTCTCCGCCATGTTGTTGTATGAATCGAGTGACGGTGGGTCGGATATTGTGCATTTATTTTGTAAAAATTATTTAAAAGTCGTGAAAATATTAACTGTTTGGCTTGCACGGCCAAGGTAAGTTTTATTCGCATTAATTTTAATTAAATAATGATATAAGTCACCTTAATATCTCAACCAGTACAAGTAATTTTATGGGGTCGGGTGTGGTGTTCGGTATTTAGTTCATGGTGCACTTATTTGTTTTGTTTTCCGCTGTTCCAAAATTATTTCCTAGTCGGAAGCATTAAATAAATGCAAATGTTTATGTGATCAAGTTCTAATGTGAACCATGCTTTAATTCTTATGAATCGATCGATAACGTACAAAGCGGGAGACATGTTTTATGGTATTTTTTACAACAGGGGACGGGTGCATCGTCGCATCGTCTAAATCATGAGTTATCAAATTCCATCATCGCAAAGTCGCACAAGTAAGTAATTTATATTGATTCTTTTGTAAATGTAAATTTATCATATCATTGCCATTCAAAAAGTTTGAGTACTTACTTACTGAACGCTGTTCAAACCACTTACTTCGATACAATTGAATGAATCGGTTTGTGTCTATCGTGACTCATGCATATGGCATTACTTGAACGATAAATTTATAAATGAACTTTAACTTTTCTGTATCTCAGTACATTCTCTGCTAAGTAGCAAAAGAAAAAGAAATCCTAAAACACGAAAACATTGGAATTGAAACTGAGAGAAAAAATTACATTTTGAATCATACATTCTCAGTTCATTTATTTGAAAACAATTTTTAAACAAATTGCAAATAAATTAGATTAAAAGGAAATTTGAAATATAATTTGTTATGATTTGAGAACTCTCAAAAAGGTTCTTCAATTATTGAAAATACAGGTATAACAAGATTAGGATTCAACATAATTGAAACTTCAATCTCTTGTCAAAAGACGTGGAGTTCACATTAATGGCATAAAGTAACCACTTTATTTTAGTTTAAGTTTAGCTCCTGCAACTACTTACTAATTCTCTTTATGTTCGCTTGAAATTAAACCCATACTACTCCTTACATTCCTACAGAAATATATATATATCTCTCTGTTTTGTGTGAATAAAAAACGAGAAAACATCATTATTTTACAGTGTCGCACAGCAGCTATGTTGCTTCTGATGTGCCAATGGCACCAAACAAAGAGCAGCAGACATTGATGTGGCAGCAAAACTCCTATTTAGTGGACTCTGGAATCAACTCTGGAGCTGCTACCCAGGTAATGTTATCAGGCTGTCTATTATAAAATACAGCAGTGATTAAAATAAAATACGGCTTGTCTTCTTAATTTAACATAATTTTGGGAGGGACACAACTGGAAATCTAACTTTATCAATACAACAACATAAGTCATTCAATATACAAAATAATGATGAGGTTTGATTAAAATTTTTATTATGATGATAATTCATAATATGATATACCTGAACTACGGGTGCTCTAAACCTTGCTGATTTTATCATGGAACTTTTAACTGTTAAACATAGAATGATCTAAAGAAAAAGAAAAAACATTTTCTCTCATTTAGTTGTGACTGAACCATACAAACTAGCAGTTAGAAAATTACTTCTGCATACTAAATAGATTTTGAATTGAACTGAGCAGTACTTTCATTAGTGAAATCTGTTATGGTATTTCATTAATTTTATCTGGCCTGTATTCTTTAAGTAAGGACAGTAAATATGAGCAAAACACCATCCATTATAGTGTGAAGATATTCTTGCATTTTAGTTTTTAGAGTACACGTCAAGCCTCGTGTACCTCTTAATAGTTGTTTAAGCACTGTGAAACTAAAATCTTAGTATACAGTTCGAAAAGTAATATAAAATATCATAAAAATGCACAAAAGATCAGCTGTAGTCATAATTGCTAACTTTTATTTGATATTTAAAAATTATTCTTCATTCCCAAAAGTACAAAAGATTTTTTATGAGAATACATAACTGTACCTTTGTAACTTGACTGAGAGTGATAATCAGATGACTCCTACCTTTTTGAATAGTCGCATCAATTTATTTTAGTTAAATGTATGATTCTCTTCAGGTTCCATCACTAACTGGCAAGGAAGATGATGAGATGGAAGGTGACCAACTTATGTTTGACCTTGATCAGGGTTTTGCTCAGGGATTCACTCAAGAACAAGTCGATGGTGAGTTGTTTCCCCATTGCATTTAGAAATGTTTGAATGTACAATATAGAAATAATTTTACACAAAAATTCTTATGAAAATACAAGCTGTTTGGGTTGTAGTATTCAATATCATATGACTTACTTTCAGATATGAATCAACAGCTTTCTCAAACTAGATCTCAAAGAGTCCGTGCGGCTATGTTTCCTGAAACGCTGGAGGAAGGAATTGAAATTCCATCGACACAGCTGGATCCCGCTCAACCAACTGCTGTCCAGCGTTTAGCTGAACCTTCCCAGATGTTAAAGCATGCTGTGGTGAACCTCATCAATTATCAAGATGATGCTGATTTGGCTACCAGGTATAATTATGTAATATAATAGCCTAACACCAGGTATTGCCAGGTAACAACGGCCGTCTGGTGTAGTGGTAAGTGACATGGTCACTACACAAGGGGGTCGCGGGTTCGAATCCCGCCAAGGGAAGATGTTTGTATGATAAATATAAATGTCTTTTCCAGGGTTATGGATGTATATTAAATATATGTATAATAAAAATCTTACATTTATATCCGTTATCTGGTACCTGTAACACAAGCTCTTTACGAACTTATCACGGGACCAGTTAACGTGGCGTGATTGTTAGTAAATATTTATATTTATATTTATTTATTATTTTATCAGATCATCAGGCAACAAGCATGAAAAAAAGAAACATTACACTATTATTATTCATTTCTTCTATTCCTATTGATTTAAAATTTGTTTCAGAGCTATTCCAGAGTTGATAAAGCTACTGAATGATGAAGATCAAGTAGTAGTATCCCAAGCTGCCATGATGGTGCATCAGCTCTCTAAGAAGGAAGCATCGCGTCACGCCATTATGAACTCGCCACAAATGGTGGCTGCGTTGGTTCGCGCAATTTCCAACAGCAATGATCTAGAAACTACTAAGGGGGCAGTTGGCACCTTACACAATTTATCTCACCATCGTCAAGGTCTGCTTGCCATCTTCAAGAGTGGTGGAATTCCAGCATTAGTGAAACTACTCAGCTCTCCAGTTGAAGCTGTGCTCTTTTATGCTATTACAACACTGCATAACTTATTGTTGCATCAAGACGGTTCAAAGATGGCTGTTCGTCTAGCTGGAGGTCTACAAAAAATGGTGGCATTACTACAAAGGAACAATGTCAAGTTTCTAGCTATTGTGACTGACTGCCTTCAGATTTTGGCCTACGGGAATCAAGAATCGAAATTGATTATTCTAGCATCTCAGGGCCCAATCGAATTAGTTCGCATTATGCGTTCTTACGATTACGAAAAGTTGCTGTGGACAACTTCGAGAGTTCTTAAGGTCAGCTAGTTTCTAATTAAAACTATACACAAATTTACTTCAATTTTTTAACATACTTGATACTTAAAATGCAGGCTTTTTTCAAATATTGAAGCAATTATAGTGCTTGGTATTAAAACATTAACAATGCAAAACTTTAATAATTGTATCAGGTATTGTCGGTATGCTCAAGCAACAAGCCAGCTATAGTGGAAGCTGGTGGCATGCAAGCTCTGGCCATGCATCTAGGCAACCCGAGCGGCCGTCTCGTCCAGAACTGCCTTTGGACTCTGAGGAATCTGTCTGATGCTGCTACCAAAGTAAGAGATAGTTCTTTAACTGCACTAATTTTGTTTATATAGGTACATATTAAAATAGTTTTAATACCTAATATTGAAGTGTAATGGTACTGCAGATACTGAAAAGGTAACAATCTACTAAACTATCAATTATATAAAATTTAAATATTTAATTATCTGTGCATAAAATATTTTCTAGTGCTATTGTGTACTCACTGGTCCTAGTACCGTTTTAGATAATAGTTCCTGTAAAGCAGGTATTAAAAGAAACCTGTATTAAATATATAGAAATTTGATTACAATTAAGTTAGGCATTTATCTACATTTAGTTTCGCTATGTTACTTTATAATTACACTCAAAAAATTAATGCGAGCACCAATAATTAGATATCAAATAAAATAATCTGCAGGTGGAAGGCCTGGAGGCATTGCTGCAAAGCCTCGTGCAAGTTCTAGCTTCGACTGATGTCAACATCGTGACCTGTGCTGCTGGAATTCTCTCCAATCTGACCTGCAACAACCAACGCAATAAGGTACTGTATCGTTTTTTTCCTGTCTGAAGTATTTCAAATATAATAACATGAAATTATAACCTGATTGTCAAATTATTAACTGATGTGATATTTATAATATCCTAATAAAGTAATTGTCCAAATGTAAGATTATTTGGAGGAGGGCGTCTTGTGAGCCCGCATGTGTCAGTACTAATGAAAATTGATGACGATATTTTTGATGTTGATGTCTATGCCCATAGACTTACTGGAGCCCTCCAGTAACCACCAAATACCAGTTGGACCGTGAGGTCGCTCAACCGCATACTAAATTAAAATAAATAAATCTATCTTCTATCTATATACATAAAAATGAATTGCTGTTCGTTAGTCTCGCTAAAACTCGAGAACGGCTGGACTGATTTGGCTAATTTTGGTCTTGAATTATTTGTAGAAGTCCAGAGAAGGTTTAAAAGGTAGATAAATATGAAAATGCTCGGAATTAAATAAAAATAACAATTTTGTTTTTCCTGTGATGTGTCCCCCGTCGGATGGATTCCTTTTGTTTGTTTTAAGTTTATTTTATACAAAAGTTTAGGTATTTTATTTATCGATTGAAGCACTACAAAGTCTGCTGGGTCAGCTAGTGTGAAATAAACATTAATGTTATATTGGTTTGTGCAGATGACGGTATGCCAGGTAGGCGGCGTGGACGCGCTGGTCCGCACGGTGGTGTCGGCCGGGGACCGCGAGGAGATCACGGAGCCCGCCATCTGTGCGCTGCGACACCTCACCTCCAGGCATGACGACAGTGAGATGGCGCAGAATGCAGTGCGCCTGCATTATGGATTGCCGGTCAGTAGTTACTTTTGGTTAAATTAGTGAAGCCTTGTCTTAGTTTGCTGTTACTATTACTACTGTGCTGGCGCTAGGACCCCAAAATGGGTCTTAGTCTCCGACAATAAACGTCGCCATTCATCCCGGCGCTGCGCAACACCTTGTCAGTCCGACACTTGGAGCTCACGTATCCGGCGACAAACTCAGTGGGCTATGTCTATGGGTTAATTTACTCGCCGAGCCCTTCGTCGCAAGCGACGGGTTCGATGAGAACGATGACCGGTGCTTGGGGTACCTAAAAGCACCGTTAATGGATCGGGAGGATCTGAGATGACTGGTTTTGGGCGACGTCGACTGTTTACCATTTGGTCCGCGGGATCGGATGAGAGGGTTCTCGTGTCGTGCCGCTTTATCAAAATGGCGCATTGATGCTGACTGTAGATACTTACTGATGGACGCTAGGTCCAGGTCGTCGTGAAGGTCGACGTTCCTGACGAACCACGGGGCTCTGACGGATATCCTGCAAAAACTGGATTGAATAGTTTGAAGGGGTTTCAAGTTTGTACGGGCCGCATGAGCAAACACTACACTTGCATAGGTCATGAATGGCCAATGGTATTTTCTTCTTTCTTCAAGACCTTGTGTCTTAACTAATGTCTTAACCACTGTTAATAGTATACTTCAGGTATAAAACATATTGTAAAATTTCCCATCTCACTTCGAGTGTTATAAAACTTATATGCCAATTGTTATTTGAAATTCTGCAGGTGATCGTGAAGCTGCTACAGCCTCCTTCTCGCTGGCCTCTAGTGAAGGCCGTCGTGGGCTTGGTACGCAACCTGGCGCTCTGTTCCGCCAACTACGCTCCGTTGCGGGAACATGGCGCCGTTCATCATCTGGTGCGCCTGCTGATGCGTGCCTACAACGACACCCAGAGAGTAAGTCAGTCAGGAGAGAGAGATATATGCAAAAAAGTGCAATTGGCGGTCTTATCGCTAAGAACGATCTCTTCCAGACAACCATCAGGTGGACAAAAATCATTTGGAAACGAACTACGCGCGGTGTACCAATTCAGTGAAACATTTATACATGTATACATACATATACACACATGTATACATACATATACACACACATATATCCGTAAATACACATACAATTAATACACAATATAATATGATAATAATTATTAAAATTTTTGCTTCTTTACACATAAATAAGAATAAGCAATTTACATATAAAAGATACTTAAAATACCTTTGAAACATATACAATTGTAGTTGAAGTTGAAGAAAGAAAGAAGACATAAACAAGATTAAAGCCCGCCAGTTGTTAGCATTCACTGAAACTAGATACAATATGAATCTAAGTAGAGATAATGAAGAAGATAGTGTCAACTCATTCATGGTCGTAAAGATCACACCCTATCTTATAAACCTTTCTGCTACCTACTAGAATAAATTTGTGAACACAATAAATTTAAAAAAAAACCTGCCTCAGATTCTACCATTCCACCCAAGACTTCACCACCCCGGCTGTATTAACGATAAATGCACTCACTTTTTTATTTTATTGCTTAGATGCGTTTTTATTTTATTGCTTAGGTGCTCACAGCTCACCTGGCGTTAAGTGGTTACCGGAGCCTATAGACATCTACAACGTAAATGCGCCACCCACCTTGAGATATAAGTTCTAAAGTCTCAGTATAGTTACAACGGCTGCCCCACCCTTCAAACCGAAACGCATTACTGCTTCACGGCAGAAATAGGCAGGGTAGTGGTACCTACCCGTGCGGACAAGAGGTCCTACCACCAGTAAATATTTACTTATATTCAATTATTATTTACCAATATAGCAACGCAGCTCTTCGGGCGGTGGAGCCAATACTGCTTACGCTGACGGCGTTCGTATGGAGGAGATCGTGGAAGGCGCCGTTGGAGCCTTGCATATTTTAGCCAAAGAAAGCCACAACAGACAACTGATCCGACAGCAGAATGTCATTCCGATATTCGTGCAACTGTTGTTCAATGAGATTGAAAATATTCAGGTTCGTGTTATTCTCCTATTGGAAACTTTTAAAACTAAATTTGAAATAATATTAATAATATAACACTTTATTTAACACCATAATATGTACAGAGTAAGCATATAAAACAAATAATAGTCGGTGACATAAATTGGCGGCCTTATCGCTGAAAGTGATCTCTTCCAGGCAATCTAGCAGGGAGAGGAATAAGCGAACTGGACGGTGCTATATCTTAATAAACTTACATAAAAATATATACTTTTATACACATGAAATGTGGTACTTATACTCATATGAACTTTGTAAACAGCGCGTTGCCGCCGGCGTGCTCTGTGAATTGGCCGTAGAGAAGGAAGGAGCAGAAATGATCGAAGCCGAAGGGGCAACCGCTCCGCTCACTGAATTGCTGCATTCAAGAAATGAAGGTTGGAAATTAGTGTAATATGTATAATAACACGCTTTTCAGCAGAAAAATTGCGGATGTTTCGCGTAGATGCTAGTTTATTTATTTGGACACCAACAGCAATACACAAACCATTCAAGCTTAAAATTAACATGTCAATTAATGCACATATTTGGTTATATTCACTACAAATCTTTGATAAAGGGGAATATTTATGGAGCTTTGTTCTACTTTGGGGGAATATGGAAAATTTTAGTGATAGGATGCCGTGGACAGTGGTATGGAATACTAAAGTTGATTTTCTGAAGTAAGTGGTTACAATCTATCCGTCGGAAATCAGTTTTCTTAGGAACATGATATTAATTATTCTACGACGGTTGTTGAGCGATATCATTTTAAAATGTTAGTTCAATGAATATGTATTCGCTCTCGATTTCGAAGCGAAACTATGGGCTTGTCAGAATAGAATGCTTGTGATTTAAGCCTTAGCATAGTGTTAAAATCTTAGATATTTCCATAGACCACATACTCCCTTTAAATTATTTTCTCATACATTTAGGTACATGTCTTATGAATATGTAGTAATAATAGAAAACACCAGATAGTAACCAATTTTTATTTTATACTGGACAATCCCGCATATGAACGTTGTATGTTATCGATGAAGTTCTAAACTATATGTAATATTGTTAACATATCTCTGAAGGAGTTGATGTGTGAATATTTCAGGGGTCGCCACGTACGCTGCAGCCGTTCTGTTCCGCATGTCCGAAGACAAGCCCCACGATTACAAGAAGAGACTCTCTATGGAATTGACTAATTCGTTGTTCCGCGACGATCACCAGATGTGGTCCAATGACCTTCCGATACAATCCGATATACAGGTGAGTTTGGTCGGTTATAACTGATATTGGTGCTTAAGTGTTGCCTTGTCGAGTTTTTCGATGTCTATGAACTAAGTCTACGCTTGAAAGGCAAACATGACTAAGTGACTTTAGCAGTAGGCAGCGGCTTGGCTCTGCTCCTGGCATTGCTGAAGTCCATGGGCGACGGTAACCACTTACCATCAGGTGGGCCGTACGCTCATCTGCCTACAAAGGCAATAAAAAAAAAACGACAATGGGTGAACTTTACAGTAGACTAATTTAAAGTTGAAATACCTGAAAAATAATCTATTTTAACGAATCTAGCTGTAGGATTGAAATTATTTTAATAGACCTAGAAATATATGTTTTTGCGCATCGAATACGTACGGTTATTGCCTATCATTTATGCACAAACAGTTATTGTCGCTTAGTCACGTTTGCCTTTCATGCGTCGAAGTAAACTATTATCTTTATTTGATGATTTTATTTATAGTATTTATTACAATTCAAAATTTATTAAATAAAACTAAATGTTATTTGCTTATTAGTTCAGAGGTTATAGAGAAATTTCTTTTTATTTTCACAAAAAAAACTCAATCGATATCTATTTATGATTTGCACCATTTTACAAGTTTATTTTCACCGTTTGCTTGATATAATTTTTAATGGGAATCTCCACTAGGACATGCTCGGGCCAGAGCAGGGTTACGAGGGCCTGTATGGGACCAGACCATCCTTTCACCAACAAGGTAAGCCTTTTGACGTCATCAATTTCGATAGTTTTAAAACTAACAGCGCCTGTAGGTAGTTAATAGATATCACATTATCTAGAGTGTGTGATCTAAGGTCATTTATAATTTTGTACGGAAATCATATGACATATTATTTGTCATAGCAATAGTAATGTATACACATATTTTGTGCATGTCTTATGTACAACTTGGAAATAATGATACGAGCTTTATTTCCATATTCCATAATTATTAATAAAAATTGGTGCGCCAATTTTGATTTTAGATAAATCATTATGTGTATAAAAGTTTCCAAGCTGCGTCAAGTTTGTTATTATGAAAAAAATGAAGATAAGAGAATTCTGTCCTATAAGTAAATAAGTATATTAATTATTTTATAATGAAAAGTATATATTATTTGTCTAATAGTTTTGCACTTGCATTTGCTAACAGCATATTCAATGCAATGATTGGTAGTGTAACACACAAACACAATTCTAAATATTACAAAAAGTTATCAATAGTCTTCAATTCAATATACGTACATATTTATTTCATCTAATAGATTCTGTGATATCTAAATATTGAGAATTATTCATGTTGAATATTGTCCTTTCTTAAAAAAACGAATTTTTAAATTTACTCTTTATGTTGTTAAACTCTTACAGAAAATAGTTTGATCTACCGTGAATAGTTCTCATAAATATGAAAATTGAATAGAAAAAGCACACTTGTAATATAAAAATGATGATGTATAAACAATTTTTTCTCTCTTCTTACACGCAGCTTAACCCGGGATCTATTTATCATTAAATTCAGGTGATGGGTCTGTTATTTACTATGTTTTGTGTTTGTATTATAAATTTACTAGACTTCTAATTCGTGTGAAAGTGTTATTTTTTATTTAATATCGAGTAACACAATATCGCTAATACCTCCATACTAAAAATTAGCTTTTAAAATAAATCTAATAAACAGCACAGTAGTTGATTTCAATACGATTTTAGATATTCATCAGCTTATCGAAATTGGAAAAAAATTATACAAATCAAATGCAATTTGTATCGATAATTATAGTAAATGCTTTGCATTTTAAATCAGAGTTTGCTTCAAAAAACTATGCGGTCATAGAAAGTTTTTATATGTGCCTAATCCCAATAATACAAAGCTAAATTGTTCAACCCAAAAACACATTGGAAACTTGAACCTTCAGCTAAACCAAGTTGTAAAAAAAAACTCAAATTTTCTTAATATAAGTAGATGGGCAGACTGATGCTTATGTTATTACTTAGCCCAGAGACAGTTATAATGTACCGTCTTGGTTGTCTGAGGTAGAAATCTCAACCGTCAAGATGTGAGACTTGATTGCTTCACTGCAGAAATAGGCCATAAGCTTCTACCAAGTCGTATAGACACTTCACTATAACCCCATTCAAACTCTACCACAAACAAGCATTAATAATAACACTATGGATAGCCACGTTGTTACTACATCTCAAGTCGGACTGGCAGTTGTTAATTTCTTATATTTTTTTAATGTGTCATGTAATCATGATTTTCATAATGTCAAGTGCCCATCAATCACATCCCTATTGTGAACTAGTTTTGTGTTTTATCATGCCCGAAACCATTTTGTTCCATACTGAATGATGAAATAATTGAAGCAATTTCAGTTGTAACCGTAATGAATTACGTCTCAAACGCCGCTTATCCTTGGTTTTTTTTTATTATCCCTCATGTTATTTTTTTTTTCTTTGCTACAAAAAACGTATTATTCTTCTTCTTTATTTTTTGGCTACGGCACGGTTTGTGCATTAGCCAGCGTCAAGTAATAAGATTTTTATAATTCGCCGTTGTAATTATTTACAGTTTATGAATAATAAAAAACGAAGGAAACTTACATTGACTTACAAACTACTTATCAATTGACATTACATTAAATGAAATGAGATGATATGATATGGATAGGGGATGAAATATAATCTCAGTAAAATGGTGGTCGTTTACTGAGATTTTTTCAGTGGACTTTTTGGAGGATCCCGAGAAGTTACGTTCAGCGGCCTTATTTAATTTTCCCACATTTGTGCACTTTCACAGTAAACTAAGCAGTTAATAAACCACTGTTACTACACATTTAAACCTGAACAAACACTAAATCGACAAAACAAATATCACACAACTTCTGGACTCTTTTTGCCTCGGTAGGCAGCGGCTTGGCTCTGCCCCTGGCATTGCTGAAGTACATGGTCGACGGTATCCACTCACCATCAGGTGGGCCGTATGCTCGTCTGCCTACTCGGGCAATTTAAAAAAATAAAAACTGCGCTCCTCGCGTTCCCGCCAAAAAGTCATAACGTATTATTTCAGGCTACGATCAAATACCGATAGATTCGATGCAGGGGCTTGAGATCGGTAGCGGTTTTGGTATGGACATGGACATTGGCGAGGCGGAAGGCGCGGGCGCGGCGTCAGCTGATCTGGCCTTCCCCGAGCCACCCCACGACAACAACAATGTGGCAGCCTGGTACGACACAGACCTTTAAACAAATCGAACGTTTCAAATTTAATTTTATTGTATGTAACTCGATTCACAATTGTAATTCACATGTAATTCGTCTTCTAGCAATAAAACTGTATAATCTCAAAACTTACTAATTTTACAGGAAAGTGTTTTAAAGGCTTAATATGTAAAAAATTTACTATTAATCATATTTGCAAATTTTTTTTACCTGTTACATATCTGTCTTTTAATTTAATTTTGTTAATAGTAAAAAAAACTAGAACACGCTCTTTTGACCATATTTATGAGAAAAATACTGGTGATACCAAATGTTTATGCATATCAACTCCATTCCGGATATTTTTGGAAATTGTACACTTTTAATGCGAAAAGGCGAATTGTAATACATCATATGTATCGTCCGTGCTAAATTGTGTCATAGTACATAAATGCAATAGGGTGGGTATTTGACTGCATTACGAAAATCAGTACAAATTGTTCGTTATTGTCTATTCTCAGACTATTCAGTATTAAAATACGGTTATTTTGATATGATAAGTAATCACAAACTATCATAGTACGATTGATTTGTGACGTCATAAGATAGTGAATTTTATTTCCGTAACTAAACTGATAAATATCGTTCAATGCAAAATTCGATATACAGATTAGTTTCGCCGTAATCGCGACATTAAACTTAACACGTTTTTCTTGATTCAGTCAAATACCCTATTTATTAATACATACGTCTCAATGGTCATTGCAATAACAATATTTTGCTTGAACAACTAAATTTCAATCTTATTCATAATTTTTTTCAAAGTGAAGACATTTCGAAATACAACAAAATTTGTTTTAATAATGACCGTGACGTCATTTGCCTTTTATCACAGACCGAACGATACAAAAATACCTACTTTTGTGTTTAGTTTAATATCATACTAAATTATTACACGATGCAATTTTTTGTTTTTTAAATATTGTATTGTGTTACAGAACATTTCTTCGTATTTTAGTTAGCCAGCCATACCTCCGGCATTATATGAGCTATGGATTCCATTCTTGCTAAGTTAATTCTTAGTGCAGTGTGGAGACCATCAAAAATTGGTAGTACAAATTGTAGAATGTTGGTGTTGATAATTTTAAAACTGGTATACTCGCGAAATAATTTCATTGCTACATTACATGCATTTATATGTAGTTTGCCAAAATTATATATTATTATATTATTACATAATTTTTTAACATAACAATCAACAAATATTAAATGAAAATGCATTTTAAAAACTAACCAGTGAAATTATGTTGCAAGAGATAAACGATACAGAATGTAATTAAAACCTGTCTATTTAAAAAAAAAAAATTAACCTTCCATGATTTCTTACTTAGACAGTTCCGACTACAATCTTGCATATACATAATATAATATATTATCATGATATTATGTTTATGAATTTAGGAATTAAAATTTTCACACCAACATCTGCTTTGAGACGACAGAACAAAACTGTGATTCTAAAATAACAGCTAACAAAAAAAAAACATTTATTTTATTGTTATATTAATTTGTGTATTTGTTTTATTCAAAATATAAAAAAAATTGGTGCTGCTCGAGAAATTATTGAATAAACGTTTCATTGTGATTTTAGGTTTCTGTAATAATAATAATAAACATGGACTTCCAAACGGGTTAAAATTCTTGCTGAAAATGAGAATGTTATTATTTGTTATCTTATAAATATTACCAACAACTCTGCATTATTTACGTCGACTCTAATAAGCGTACTTACGGAATTCGTATACGCGTTAATTAGGATACATACGATAAGATTTCTTTTGAATAGGCTTTAAATATAACATTTCCTGGGCACTATTACATAATGCAAGTGTGTGATGCATTTAAAAATATAGGTTTTTTTTTTTTAAATAGATTGTTCATTCGTGAATTTTCCTTTGACATTTTTTTTTAATAGTTATTTATGGATAAGACTGCTCGTACGAGTGAGGCATGTATTTCGTAACGTTATTTTTTAAATATTTGACTGCCATTGTTGTTTTTCGAAGTCGCGTGCAAGCTACGTTGTGTCGCGTTTGGTATTCAAAACTGCGAATGTGGTTTCTTGTCGTATACAATAAATGAAGAATTAAACATACGCGGCTATGAATACTGAACGAGTTGAGTGTTTTGGTTCAATTAATAAATCGTTTCTAAGTGATCGTGAAAGTGTGATTGGTTCTCATGTGTTAGTGTAAGTTCAATATGTTTTTGTTTCACAATCGCCTTAATAATATCTCTTTGTCAGCGGTAATGCAAAGGTCAGTTTATCGGACCCTATTTTTATCGGCCATTGTGAAACATGCCCATATGATCCACGTAATCGATAGAAAACCGTAATTCTGTAATGACGTAATCATAGAATTCCTTAAATAAAAAAAGCACACCATTTAGTGAATGCACTCTTAGAACGTTCTAGAACGTAGTAATCGTAGTAGTTTTAAGAATATTAATTTAAAAGTAAAAACATCCTCTAGGGATATCTTTATGATTTTTTTTTCTATTTGTATTTAAAAATCGATTTACCGATTTTTTTTTGTATTGAATCGTGACATTACTCAAATACGTTTTGAAATCCATGTGTATGGATAATAAAGTTAAGTACTTTAAATAATGTTTTGTTTTATTTCATCGTGTTGTTGAAGATTAAATAATGTTGATGTAAATCGCTTATAGTAATCTCAGCTGTCAACTGGATCGACTCTTGCAGTTACCTGTACCACGTGCTGCCATTTTAAACAATAATAAATAGGTACAAGTATGTTCACAAATCCGTGCACGATAGATGAACAAAAATTACTTTTGTTGGTATCTTAAAAGACGAAATAAAACGTAAATCATTCTCTCTTTGAAACTATAGTAAGGTATGGAAATAATTGGCTCTGTGTCATTGGCATGGTAGTATCTGCTATGAAATAGTCAAGATGCTCCCGCTTTTTTATAGAAAACGCCGTTCGTGCGACCTGTGCCAATCTACCAGTGCTAACTCTTGGAGAAAGTACGCAATCGATAGGATTGATATTAATTACACCACGTGACCCCGTTTACTAACTGTTAATGCAAGACTTTCAGAATCTTCACAAGCTTAGACTGTAGGCAGAAGCTTGGCTCTGCCCCTGGCATTGCCGACGGCCATGTGTGACGGTAACCACTCACCATTAGGTGGGCCGTATGCTCGTCAGACTGACTATACGGCGATAAAAAAAAAGCTGAATGTATCTTGTCTAGCCACCCTGAACTACTATGATCATCCTCAATACATTTCCAGAGAACGTATTTGGTGCGAACCGTCACTGGAATGAACTCGCACCTCATATCCCACGCGCAAAAACATGTCTTTCTCAAACGAGGTTTCAACTTTTAAACATAAAGCTATCTATGGTTTCAACGGGGCTCTCGGCGGTAGGTAGCGGTTTGTTTTTTTTCCTAATATATTTGATTACCTGATTATGATTTTCATGTTAAAATCAGGTAGCTATTTTTCCTTCCACACCGTGCTTGCATCTAACAGGAATTCGGCGCACCGTAATAATACCAATAAATCGCATTAAATTATGTTACATACAATATCAGATAGGTACGCTGGATGCGCAAGGGACCTGCGATATTTAATGGTGTGAGATTGTTCAAATTAGTTTTTTTAGGAACTTTCCCTACAACCTTTTTTCTTAGAACTAATCATACAAAATTTCATGGCTAACTTTAGCCGCCTTCGCGTCATCACATACTAACAGGTCCACAATATGAAAGACAAGATTTAAAATCCTTTAAATTCAATATCGATTTTGACTAAACCTCGTCTCAAGAGATCACAAGCATCACGGCATCACTCACCCAATATTGCTGTAAGACAATCTGATTTAAGAAATTTCCAAGAATCGAGACTTCAATAACAATTAGAACTTTAGTACAAGACATATCAGCAAAGCATACTTGGCTAAACCGCAAATTGTTACCGTAGGTGGGTGAGGCCACAAACCGCGAGCCAAGTTCACCTTATGTTCCGACGGTTATTATGCACAATTAGGACTTAGAGGCATGCAGCACTAATCTCGCAACGTATTCCAAGTCGCTCGGCTCGTAGCGAAATAGTTTCCGCTCAATAATTACAAACATCAACTACGAAATTCCTCATGAATGAAAGTTCGTCGATAGATGTTGGTTTTTGCTAAATGTATTTACGATCTGGGACTTATTGGTTTTATATCGTTTTAACTGTGGGTAATCTAGACGTTCTTGTCTAACTTGCGGTATGGGGAAACTTTTGCCACTTTTTTTGGGCCACAAAAAGAAATCGGATTTTTTTTTATATTATAGCCCAAAATGGTAATTATATTATAATATTTTTATTAATGGTGATAGATCTTTACGATAAGTCAACAAGCTTACGACAGTATGGCTTTGCGTGGTAGAAATTTTGATAGTCCTGTCTATTTCTCACGTGTGACAGCCATTATACAATACAATTGAAACTTCAATCTTATATTTCAAGGTGGATGGCGGCATTGATTTTTTTTTTTTTCCTACCTAAGCTGAGAGCCTTAAGTGGCTATTTCAGCGTAACCCTAACGTTTGTAGGTGAGCTCACGGGGCTCAAACCTGATGACGTTGCTAACACGAACCCTAGCAAGAGCCGTGCTTCGCAGAATCTACCACCGGATCGGAAACGCGACCCACTGAGAAGATCCGGCGAGAAACTCAGTGGGCTGCGGCATTGAATTGTGACGTCTATGAGCTTGTATGCAATAAATAACTCAAACTTTCCAAGTCAGGAGGTCGTATTAGAAGATATTTATGTACTACAGTGTTCGATACCTAATAAATTAAGAAAAATATACGACTCGTAACGATTAGTAAAACAGCTTTTACGCAGTCCTCAAACAATTCTAAGGGCTCGGAAACCCCAAAAGAGCGTAAACTAATACCAGCAATTACCCGATGGTCTATAAGTATTACACTTTTAAATCTACGGCAATTAATAAGTTAAACGATAATTAGCAATTTGTGAACAGTAAATTCGAATTCCCCAAATCACAGCACGAAGTCAGCAATCAAGAAACTCGACTCATGCATGTTTGATTTACATTAAACGGTTTTCGGTCTTTTCCCACGTGACCGTCAGTAATTAGCCTGACGTTTGATCGAAAACTTTTATTGAATACAGGG